ATTTGTAAACAAAATCCATAACGTTTTATGATACTTATAAATGCCAGCGCTCCAAAGAACATGATGTAAAAATGTTACTGTACTTTTGGCCTCATGGCCACTCTACGAAATAAATCTGTCTGTCTGTCTGTCTGTCTGTCTGTCTGTCTGAATCGTAATTTCAGATTTGCTCCCACCCCAAGGAGGCCGTGATACAAATGAAATTCTGTTCAAACCCGATTGATTCGTTAACTTACTCGTGACATGTCGTCATGTCATGCTCTATGTTTGACAGTGCATAATATGCAAAAGTTCATGCATACAACATGAATAAAAAGCGGTTATACATGGTCGTATAATACGGAGCAAATTATACATTAACACACATGCCGACTCTCATCAGCAGCTAATAAGAAGAAGGAAGAATAGTTGAAGTAATAAAATAACAAATATTTTGCCTTGTATGTAATAATATAGATACCCCTGTTGGCATAGGAAACTAGCATGAAATCACAGCTAATCATCGTTTATAATCATATTAACGGGCGGTGGGATAGCCTAGTTGGTAAGGCGTTCTCTCGTCACGCCGGACACCCGGGTTCGATTCCCAACATGGGTACAATGTGTGAAGCCCATTTCTGGTGTCCCCCGCCGTGATATTGCTGGAATAGTGCTAAAAGCGGCGTAAAACTAAGCTCACTCACTAATTATCTTAACTGTAATACGTACACATATCATGCATTGAAAGGACTTCCTCCACTCTCCCTACACTCAGATTTAAACATATAAATCTTTAATTCGGATGGTTCTGTAAGTAACAAATTCTGCGTTGGCGCCGTCAAGTCGAGATCACAGCATGTATGACGTAAAATGGGGACATTGATGTCAAAAGAGACTGATTAAACTTGAAATAGACCACGGTGACGAGAAATCAGGAAAACACGGAGAGAGCGTTCTAACCCACAGTGATAATAGGAACAGGTTCCTTCAGGCTGGGCTTATAAATCTGTTTGTCCATGTCGCTTTATGCTCTTGAATGTCATAATATATAATGATAAAGAAGCAGACTCGCCCAATCGTTATTAATGTATGGGATGTTCGTGAACAGATTTATTTTTATTGCCCAGATATTATGCCCCGATTAATGCATTGTTTATGGGCGCCGCCTGGCTAGTGCCTTGGAATACATATTACAGGCGCTTCCATGAACAGAACTAACGTTACGTGAACTGTGTCTTTTCTCCTCCACATACCAAATGGCTTTGACCTAGGAGATGTTTTGGAGCAGTTCAGAAACCATGCCTATGAAATCGTCAACCAATCTGCTGGTTGACTTGATGTAAAAACCGCAAGAAAATACTGAAAACTGATTAAGACTCAAAGAGTTAACTCCCTTAATTGCCCAACGTGAAACTCTATTTACAAAACCCCCGGCGCTGTCACATTTTAGGACACTTTTGTTGACATTAGTCATAACCAATGTTTTCTTTTATCTGTACCACTCAGGTAAATTCTGAAAACTCATGTTAGTGTTTGAAGCATATTCTTTACTAAAACAGGTGATTATCCTGAAAATGTGCCGTCATAAAAAGCAATCAGATTTTAAATGTATTTAAAACGTCAGTTTTTGTCCTGCAAGTCGTAACTGATAAAAAAATACTGGTATCATTAGGTGACTCTGTAGTATACCCGAAGTATTAGTGTATAATCAGCATAATATAAGGATTGGATAGAGTGAGTGAGTTCAGTTTTACGCCGCACTCAGTAATGTTCCAGTAAATATAGAGCGGTTTGCAAATAATCAAGTCTGGACCAGACAATCCAGTGATCAACAGCATATGCATCGATCTACACAAATGGGAAACGATGACATGTGTCAACCAAGTCTGACCACCCGATCCCGTTAGTCGCCTCTTACGACAAGCATTGGTTACTGAAGATCAATTCTAACCCGGATCTTCACGGGTCTCTAAAATATGGAATTTTCAACACACCAGAAGCGCCTCAATATGTCACGTGTTGGTTCCCAGGGTAAAACGTAAAGAGTACACTAGAAATTGTAAAGAATAAAAAGAAGTTGTTACCAATAAAACGTGTCATGTATCAGCAGGGCAAGGTTCACGAATACAAACATCCATACGGATAATATATGCGACATCAACAATAATTCACAGGCTCTATTATAGAAAAGTGTGCTCTCACAAACGTAATAACATTTGTCACTAAACGAATCCATTTAATAAAAGACGTTAAGTTCTAAAATCCAGTAAATAACATTAGAATCTGGTAGAAATGTAGATAGATATTCCGTCGGGTATATATTCCGTCCTAAAATGCGTCTGATCGGCTTCGTTTCGCTTCTGCATAGGCACAAACAGACATGTAGGAGCTCACCAAACCTTGTACATAGTCGATGACAGCACCGGAACCAAAACCTTCAAACACCGGCACTAGATATTTTAGGAGCGCTTCAATCTACTTTCTCCTCACACTCCGGCGCAGTGATGACTTAGCATAACATCACTGACACAGGCTAATTTGCATATCACGTGACCGGACTTTTCTCTTGTTTGTAAACAAACGCGCATATTCATAATAAGAAGAGACTGGCTGGCGCAAGCTTTTCGGCGCTCTCTTCATAATGTTTTACATTGTTACAAATATATTCTTCCACATCTACGACGGTACTGACTGACTGACTGAGTTTAGCTTTACGCCGCTTTTAGCAATATTCCAGCAATATCACGGCGGGGGACACCAGAAATGGGCTTAACACATTGTGCCCAGGTGAGGAATCGAACCCGGGTCTTCGGCGTGACGAGCCAACGCTTTAACCACTAGGCTACCCCACCGCCCCTCTACGACAGTAAGGTTTATGGCAGTACATATTTAGATATCAAACTGGCTGCATCGTTTGCTCTCCGTCGGCTTCGATGACAGCACATGGAGCCGTACAACCTTTGTAAACAAAAGATCGCTACGCAAATCGAAATAGTGTTACATGTTTTAGGATATTTTCTCAGTGAAACTAAACCATTCTATCAAAGATGTTTCATTAGATGTGTAGACTCAGTACGACAGTGAACAAGTAGCTTGGTTTTACGCCGCTTTTAGCTTGGACCTTTAACGCTGATTCAGTTCAGTTCTCAGCTCTTTAAGAGGGACTTGAATCAGGGACATCTGGCTTTTATAACGAATTCTGCAATGCCCTAAGTAAATACTTGACTGTGATGGGTTAATCATATAAGAAGGTCGTACAGGTTTCTGATTTTCTGACATGCTTTGTTTTCGTTTGCCCACTAACATGGTGGACACCATTATACAGCGATGGATTGTGGGAAATTACTCGTCTGATTGTGAGGGTGCATTTTTAATAAGCTTAATTTAAAAAAAACACGCCATAAAGGTATGAGAAAAATGTACTGCTTATTAGGCGTTCGGTTATAAATATAATTGAGCTATTCTAAATCTGCCATAGAACTCTGATTTTAAAACATGTTAATCTCCCAGTTTAATTCAGAACACCATTTTATTGAAAACTGTAAACGGTCCTATAAAATACATGAACAATTACATAAGCTTGATGTGGACCGTTAGAGAAATAGAAACTCAGGATCACCCCCACCCATAAAACAAAATAACAACAAAAACTACAAAAAAAGAAACAAAACAAAACTAAAACTAAAAATCCAACAACGACCCCCACCCAAAAAAAAAAAAAACACACACACAAAAAAAACAAACAAACAAAACAAAAAAACAAACAAACAAAAAACACATTGATCCAATACTTTTTGTTACGAATTTTTTTTTATATAAATAAAGGTTTAAATTAAAAGAAACTGTAGATGAACAAACTGTCTAGGTTCCTCAACTCCCATTTGTGTTGACTGCTTCATTTAAGTGGGGGACCAGGGCAAACGGAAGTGTTATTGTACAGAAGCTGTGATACCCACTAATTAAGCGTACAATAGCGTCCAGTGTATGTATGTACTACCGACATAAGGTATGATGAAATGATAGGTAAGGTGTCATGACAAAAATGTCAGTTTAATTTATTTCGGGCGCGTAGAGCATTATCTCGCAAGCCCTCCATGTTCGGCGATGCTTGCGACGACGACGACAAACATGGCGATGTGACACATGTGTCCAGTGACCACCACATCCGAGTACACATCCGAGGACACAGTTTTAGAGTGGGTCACCACAACAACTGGGTTAAGAAGTCGCATCCCTAGGAGGAAGGATGCGTCGTGGCGATAGAGAGATCGGTCGGCCTGAATAATCTCAAAGGAGTACTATAGCTGTTGGTCGAAAGAATATTTTGTTGCTTAAGGTCCAATTTCTTTCTTTATGAAAACAGTATAATTCTATAAGAAAAGCCCGATTACGTACGATATATATTTAAACGATAATACAGATCTTGTATTCAGAGTGAAAGTCGTCTGTAATTTCAGTTTGGAGTGAGTGAGTGAGTGAGTGAACTGGGTTTAACGCAGCTTTGATCAGTAGTCCAGACATGTCAGCCTACAACCCTCACCACTCGCCCCTTTCCGTAACCTCCGGCTTGTCCCAGAATAACACGAGTGGTCACGAATGGTCAGCTTAGTGATGCAGGCTTCAGACTTTTTGCCTCTGTGGTGAAACTAAAGGGCACGGGTATGGCGCTGACAAACCTAGAAGGGAGTGAGTTTAGTTTTACGCCGCTTTTAGCATTATTCCAGCAATATCGCGGCGGGGAACACCAGAAATGGGCTTCACACATTATGCCTATTTGCTGAATCGAACCAGGTCTTCGGCGTGACGAGCGAAGGCCTTTAACAACGGGGCTACCCCACCGCCCCAACAAACCTTGGAACATTTTCGGGGTGAAACGAGATTGAAAGTGCTGTCGACAATATAATGACTGATAAACTTTCTTGCTTGGGTACTTCACGCAAGCTTCCGCTTGCCCCTATATTGACACAGTTCAGTTGGTCGTCGAACTTCCGAATAACATGAACTATGGAAGGGAGGTAATCGAAATGGTAGCGAATCGACGCTGAATAGAAGCCCGAGATTCATTGACACTGGTTTCAGTAGTACACAGTGCTTTGGAAACAATGGCAGCATTTCTGTCGTTGTTTGTTGTGTGCCTCGGAATTGGTAAGTATAACGATGATGAATATATTTTATTGCGTCTCATCCATGCATTGTTCGTTACTTTATTACCTGGATTAAGAGCATCAGTTTGCAGTCAAATGGCATCCTCAGCTCCTCTCGGAGTATACATTCGCCATTGGCGGATCCGATGTGTGCGTGTGCGTGTGCGTGTGCGTGTGCGTGTAACACAAGCCGTGCAAGCCATTTTCTCAGTTTTTGTTTTGTTTGTTGTTTAACGCCGCACTCAGCAATGTTCCAACTATATGACAGCGGCCTGTATACATTCAAGTCCAGACAATCCAGTGATTGACGTCATGAGCACAGATCTACGTAATTGGGATTACTTGTATCAATCAAGTCCCTTAGTCGCCTCTTAGGACAAACATGAGTTGTCTAAGAAGAATTCTAACCCGGATCTTTTCTCAGGACTCATTTTGCATTGCGGTGTCATATCTGTCAATATATATCTGTCAATGTGATATCTACCCGCATTGTTGTTTGCTAGAGTGTTGTTCGCTTCCTGTCAGAGTGAGTGAGTTAAAATTTAACGTCACATCGGCAATATCTCAGCCACATCGTGACGAGGCTTCCTATCAGAATACAAAAGAAGAAGCTAAGAAGGTGTCAAAGAATCTGATGATAAGACATAGTTTTCTGGGTCCAATATATTATGAGACACCGTATTACAAAAATAGTTTGACTAACGTGATGGTTATCTACCGGAGGTTCCCGGATAGACAAGGTCATGTTTTAAAGAGTTTCTTCCACATGTGTGTTCAGAATATACTTTTATCCTCCTCCAGCTGCCCTTGGACGTGTGGCTGAAGGCGTAGTGGGCGGCACCCCTCTTGAACCTGGTCAGTGGCCGTTCCTCGTGTCCCTCCACTTCAAGCCTGACCACCCGTTCACAAACAAGACTCGCCAGAGACATCTCTGTACCGGCACCCTCATCCGACCGCAGTGGGTCCTAACTGCCGGACATTGCTTCGAGTAAGTAAAACACATTTCTTTTTGACAGACTGACAGCGCACTTGTGTATGACAGAACTGGTTGATCAGAACTTTGAAATCGCGCTGTTTCATGCACATTTCAGAGTGCCTATTCATATGATTTGTCAAATATTGACGAAACTAAACTAAATGAATGTTTGATGGTCAGTGACATAAGGACGTTAAGTCTGCAGTTTCTGCTATTTGACGGCGGTCAGTGAATAATGAAGTCTTCTAAAATATTGGAAAACACGAGTAGCAAATTAACTACTAAACTAAAAGGGGAATTTTTGGTTCCCAAACATAGGGTTCAACAATAATAGGGTTGACAAATATCTACATAGTACTATATAGATAATTCCGGTACTGCTAGACAATCAGTGCTACTAAAACACCTTGAAAACAAAGATACACTTGCCTATCAGAGATTACCTATATCAAAACAACGCATGATGAAAGTATACGAATGTTTAGTGGATAACAGTTTTGGTCAACAAATTCCCTAATGAAACCTGCTGAGTATCAAGATGCACTCGCCTCTTTCCGTGATATACAAGAAGACATGTACCCCTATCGTACGCCATTATTGCCAAGAATCGTGGCAAACCAATCAAATCGCGCGTAGTAAAACGCATTTCGAAGCATGAAAATGGCGGCACCGTTGAACTTTGAAACTTCGCTAAACTACCCAAAGCACAATTCAAACATAAACATTTTTTTTCAGACGTAAAAACCAGTCGTCCCCCTAATTGTTTTATCGTGGTATTCGTAATCCTTTTAATGTTTAACCTGTGACACTTTAATAAACTACGACCGTCCGGATGTCTGTCTGTCTGTCCCGTCTGTCTGATGATGTTTCCTACATTGACAGTGGAGAAGAATGGGACGGACTGGAGAAGAAGAGCAACTGGATCGTCATGATCGGCGAACACAACCAGTACAAGAACGAGGGGACAGAACAACGGATGAGGATCAGGAAGGTCTTCAGACACAGGAACTACACAGGTGTGACTCTCATACACTACCGGACAAAACAAAGTGTACACTAAAAACTGGATTTACTAGAATGATGAAATCTGAGAAGTATATAATACAGCATTTGTTCAAGCATGGCAAAGACCGCAGAAGTAACTATAATGTTGATCTGGCCTCATGAAAATGATTTACCATGTCACTAAGAGCATGTAAGGAGGCCAGAGAAGAAATGTTTTACAATCTGTGATGTCGTGACTCTACAAGCATCGCCTTTGTATGTATCTTTTTACCACGTGATTAAGTCTTTGGGCCTGTGTATTACCACATATACACCAAGAACTTAATTAAGCACTCCCTGTATATTTGCAGTGATAGGTTTTCAACACCTATCAACACCTTTTAAAACTTCTCGTGGTGAGCACGATGGAAAGTCGTGAGTTTCTCTGACCCGTATGATCCTTTGACTCATAAACAAACGACAAAATGATTGGAATCCATGTTGATTGTATGATGATAATTGCTCATTTAATAAAAACATTCAAGGTTACACGATTCAAGGTTAATACCGAGTGTAACCTCCATATGACTGTATGACAGCCAGCACTCTCCTTCTCATGCCCCTGTCAGCCTCCTGATCCTCGGAAGGGGCAGTCTACCCCATCCCTCGTGTAAAGCAGCTCCAAATGGGCCATGTTCTGTATAGGAGGATCCCTATGTTGCACATGACTACAAATCATGGCCCATATGTGCTCCAAAGGGCTAAGATCGGGGCTCTTTCAATCGTGTGGTATGTCAGGGGGTGCTTAACTATAAAATAAGTTCTTTGTGTATAGCTAAACAGTGATGATTTGGAGATTTTACGTGCGCTTTTCGCGTACCAAACGAAATCCAGCCTTTGCAATTGTTTTGCTGAGGATGCCATTTGTACCTGTCCTTATACCTCGTCATTACGTCTTTGTACCTGTCCTTATACCACGTCATTACGTCTTTGTACCTATCCTTATACCACGTTCTTTGTACCTGTCCTTATACCACGTCATTACGTCTTTGTACCTGTCCTTATACCACGTCATTACCTCTTTGTACCTGTCCTTATACCACGTCATTACGTCTTTGTACCTGTTCCTTATACCACGTCATTACGTCTTTGTACCTGTCCTTATACCACGTCATTACGTCTTTGTACCTGTCCTTATACCACGTCATTACGTCTTTGTACCTGTCCTTATACCACGTCATTACGTCTTTGTACCTGTCTTATATACGTCATTACGTCTTTGTACCTGTATACCACGTCATTACGTCTTTGTACCTGTCCTTATACCACGTCATTACGTCTTTGTACCTGTCCTTATACCACGTCATTACACCTGTCCTTATACCACGTCATTACGTCTTTGTACCTGTCCTTATACCACGTCATTACGTCTTTGTACCTGTCCTTATACCACGTCATTACGTCTTTGTACCTGTCCTTATACCACGTCATTACGTCTTTGTACCTGTCCTTATACCACGTCATTACGTCTTTGTACCTGTCCTTATACCACGTCATTGTAGCGTCTTATACCACGTTATTACCTACCTGTCCTTATTACGTCTTACCTCTTTGTACCTGTCCTTATACCACGTCATTACGTCTTTGTACCTGTCCTTATACCACGTCATTACGTCTTTGTACCTGTTCCTATACCACGTTATTACGTCCACGTCATTACGTCTTTTTTACCCTATTTCTTACCACGTCATTACGTCTTTGTACCTGTTCTTATACCACGTCATTACGTCTTTGTACCTGTCCTTATACCACGTCATTACGTCTTTGTACCTGTCCTTATACCACGTCATTACCTCTTTGTACCTGTCCTTATACCACGTCATTACGTCTTTGTACCTGTCCTTATACTACGTCATTTTGTCTCTGTACCTGTTCTTATACCACGTCATTTCGTCTTTGTATCTGTCCTGATACCACGTTATTACGTCTTTGTACCTGTCCTTATACCACGTTATTACGTCTTTGTACCTGTCCTTATACCACGTCATTAAGTCTTTTGCACCGGTGTTTATACTATGCCAGTAACTTTGTGACGTATCCAAGCCATCCTCAAACTTGATTTTGTTTTTCACATCTGAGTTCCAGGACGCCAAGACTTTAATTAAGCTAAATGTCGGCGTTAAACTTTAACTTTAACATTTAAGCGCGCCCCCTCCTACGGGATCTGACCCTCCTGAAGTTGAAGCGTCCGGCGGTCCTCTCCCGGCACGTCCAGCCTATTGCCCTGGATACCGAGGGAAGGTGCACGGAAGTAGGAGCCAATGTGTCCGTGGCAGGCTGGGGGCAGATATCATACAGTTAGTAGCGTCATATCACAATGTCTGAGTGAGTGAGTGAGTTTAGGTTTACGCCGCACTCAGCAATATTCCAGCTATATGGCGGCAGTCTGTAAATAATCGAGTCTGGACCAGACAATCCAGTGATCAACAGCATATGCATCGATCTACGCAAATGGGATACGATGACATGTGTCAGCCAAGTCAGCGAGCCTGACCACCCGATCCCGTTAGTCGCCTCTTACGACAAACATGGGTTACTGAAGATCAATTCTAACCCGGATCTCCACGGGTCTGAGATATCTAGAGGCATAACTGGACTTGCTTAGGGCAATAAAACTACAATAACAGGGGAAAGAGAGTATAATAAGGTAAAGGGGCTGAAAAAACGAGGACCGACAAGGGGCAGTCCGCCAGTGGAGAGTGCTTTCATTCCTTTAGTTTAGATTTTATTTCTTCTGAGTGTACGGGTGGTTGGCTGAAGGGAATATGTTAACTGACATCAATGGTATTCTAATGATTATAATAATGTTTCGTTTTATACTTCACAAATATCGGAGTTGAAAACACTAATCCACCTTTACAGGGCCTCTCGGTTGGAGCATGTACATTCCACTCAGGGTGAACATCACGGTCATTGAACAGGACCGGTGTAGTACAGGATATGCTACCGTACCAGACGATGACCCGGACAAAGCTTTCTACGCCCCAGAGGAAGACTCGGTTATCTGTGCAGGCAGCCCCTCGGGAGGCCGGGATGCATGTTTGGTGAGAAATTAACAGAAAATATCGAATAGTAAAGTGATTTATTATATACACTGATTCAAAGTAGCAATATGGGAAAGTAAGTGACGTTATTAAGCGCAGTTGTAGTTATATAACAAATATAAATTGATAAAAACGATCAACTTATTATTCGATCTAAAGAATCCATTCATTTTCTATATTCAACTCTGTGGGGAATATAGGTGCGTCGCTACCCCATCCTATCGGGTACCCATTCGGTACCCAACTAGGTGAACATGGATTTTAACACCTTGTCAACATCATGTTAAAACATTATTCTGTGATCACCTGTCCAACTAAAATAGGTCGACCTGCCGGTAAATGATCTTTTGGGTTCTTTTCAGGGTGATTCTGGTGGACCTCTGGCGTGTTACTATGACAACGAGTGGCACGAGGGAGCTGTGGTCTCCACTGGCTACAACTGTGGCAAAGCGGAGTACCCAGGGTTGTACACTAAACTCACCTCGTACCTGGACTGGATCGAACACACTATAGACAGACATTAGGACCCTGTCCTACTCAGCTAACTATGGCATCTGCAGGGAAGCTGGACACTCGCATGCTTGCAGTCAAAGTCATTTGATTCAAATCGTCAAAATTTCATTTCATATGCTTCTAAATAAAATGCCATGGTACAGATTAATCTACCGTTGCTTTTATCCAACCAACACAGTTTTCACACACGGCGCTAATGAACACAATATCGGTATCATTATTTCTCCATAAACCAATCAACACAACATCATCATCATTATTTCTCCACAAACCAACAACACAATATCATCATCGTTATTTCTCCATAAACCAATCAACGCAATATCATCATCGTTATTTCTCCATAACCAATCAACACAATATCATCATCGTTATTTCTCCATAAACCAATCAACACAATATCATCATAGTTATATCATCATCATCGCTTATTTCTCCATAAACCAATCAACACAATATCATCATCGTTATTTCTCCACAAACCAACAACACAATATCATCATCGCTATTTCTCCATAAACCAACCTACACAATATCATCATCGTTATTTCTCCACAAACCAACAACACAATATCATCATCGTTATTTCTCCATAAACCAACCAACACAATATGAACATGGTTATTTCCCATTAACATCATCATGTTATTTCTCCATAAACGGACCTACACAATATCATCATCGTTATTTCTCCATAAACCACACAATATCATCATCGTTATTTCTCCATAAACCAAACAACACAATATCATCATCGCTATTTCTCCATAAACCAATCAACAGAATGCGAACATGGTTATTTCTCAATAAACCAGTCAACACAATATCATCATCGTTATTTCTCCATAAACCAATCAACACAATATGAACATGGTTATTTCCCCATTAACCAACCAACACAACATCATCATCGTTATTTCTCCATAAACGAACCTACACAATATCATCATCGTTATTTCTCCATAAACCAATCAACATGATATCATCATCGTTATTTCTCCATAAACCAACCAACACAATATCATCATCGTTATTTCTCCATAAACCAACCAACACAATATCATCATTGTTATTTCTCCATAAACCAACCAACACAATATCATCATCGTTATTTCTCCATAAACCAATCAACACAATATCATCATCGTTATTTCTCCATAAACCAACCAACACAATATCATCATCGTTATTTCTCCATAAACCAACCAAACAATATCATCATCGTTATTTCTCCATAAACCAGTCAACACAATATCATCATCGTTATTTCTCCATAAACCAACCAACACAATATCATCATCGTTATTTCTCCATAAACCAACCAACACAATATCATCATCGTTATTTCTCCATAAACCAACCAACACAATGCGATCATCGTTATTTCTCCATAACGAACCAACACAATATCATCATCGTTATTTCTCCATAAACCAATCAACACAATATGATCATCATCGTTATTTCTCCATAAACCAACCAACACAATTTCATCATCGTTATTTCTCCATAAACCAACCTACACAATATCATCATCGTTATTTCTCCATAAACCAACCAACACAATTTCATCATTGTTATTTCTCCAAAAAGCAACCAACACAATATCATCATCGTTATTTCTCCATAAACCAACCAACACAATATCATCATCGTTATTTCTCCATAAACCAACCAACACAATATCATCATCGTTATTTCTCCATAAACCAATCAACACAATATCAACATGGTTATTTCTCCATAAACCAACAACACAATATCATCATCGTTATTTCTCCATAAACCAACCAACACAATATCATCATCGTTATTTCTCCATAAACCAACCAACACAATATCATCATCGTTATTTCTCCATAAACCAATCAACACAATATCATCATCGTTATTTCTCCATAAACCAGTCAACACAATATCATCATCGTTATTTCTCCATAAACCAATCAACACAATATCAACATGGTTATTTCCCCATTAACCAACCAACCAACACATTATCATCATCGTTATTTCTCCATAAACCAACCAACACAATATCATCATCGTTATGTCTCCATAAACTAACCAACACAATTTCATCATTGTTATTTCTCCAAAAAGCAACCAACACAATATCATGATCGTTATTTCTCCACAAACCAACAACACAATTTCATCATCGTTATTTCTCCAAAAAAGAACCTACACAATATCATCATCGTTATTTCTCCATAAACCAACCAACAAAATATTATCATCGTTATTTCTGCATAAGCCAAACAACACAATATCAAATCAGTATTTCTCCATAAACCAATCAACACAATATCAACAATGTTTTCCTCCATGAACCACCAACGATGGAAGTGCTATATTGTTTATATATATGTTTTCGAACCCTGTCAAGTACCATGTGGGCAAATGGGTATCACGGGTTCAACCCTTATGTGTCAAGTACCATGTGGGCGAATGGGTATCACGGGTTCAACCCTGATGTGTAAAGGACCATGTGGGCAAAGGGGTATCACGGTTCAATCCTGATGTGTGAAGTACCATGTGGGCAAAGGGGTATCACGGTTCAACCCTGATGTGTCAAAGTACCATGTGGGCAAAGGGGTATCACGGTTCAACCCTGATGTGTCAAGCAAGGGAATACCATGTGGACAAATGGGTATCACGGTTCAACCCTGATGTGTAAAGTACCATGTGGGCAAAGGGGTATCACGGTTCAACCCTGATGTGTCAAGAGTACCATGTGGACAAAGGGGTATCACGGTTCAACCCTGATGTGTGAAGTACCATGTGGGCAAAGGGGTATCACGGTTCAATCCTGATGTGTGAAGTACCATGTGGGCAAAGGGGTATCACGGTTCAACCCTGATGTGTGAAATTACCATGTGGGCAAAGGGGTATCACGGTTCAACCCTGATGTGTGAAGTACCATGTGGGCAAAGGGGTATCACGGTTCAACCCTGATGTGAAGGAAGTACCATGTGGACAAATGGGTATCACGGTTCAACCCTGATGTGTCAAAATTACCATGTGGGCAAAGGGTATCACGGTTCAACCCTGATGTGTGAAGTACCATGTGGGCAAAGGGGTATCACGGTTCAACCCTGATGTGTGAAGTACCATGTGGGCAAAGGGGTATCACGGTTCAACCCTGATGTGTGAAGTACCATGTGGGCAAATGGTATCACGGTTCAATCCTGATGTGTGAAGTACCATGTGGGCAAATGAGTATCACGGTTCAATCCTGATGTGTAAAGTACCATGTGGGCAAATGAGTATCCCGGGTTCAATCCTGATGTACCATGTCAGAAAGTGAGTATCATGATACAACCCCGATGTGAAAAGTAAAAGCTGAGTATCACAGTACATCCCCAAATGAATACAGATACAGGGAAGTAGATCCCAGTTGAACATGCCAGCGCAACAACAGGACCTCATGCATATGAATCACGATAAATAAGGTCAACGGGGCCTCCGGATTTTTACTAGCAAATAACAACGGGGTGCTTGTTTATGATAAATATACATCCCGTTTAAATCTGACTGTCGTTTTTCATGAATATATCTCGACACAACCAAAAGGCAGTTTAGCTCGTATCACGTGACAGAATTTGACGCATGGCTGGTTCCGTTAGAGGCTGCTTCCACTCGGCTGACGTCTGAATACCTGTCTGTTGTTGAGCGGGCCAGGTATAGATCAGGCTTCACGGGAGAACAGTAATACGTTTTAACAAAGGAAATCCACTTACATGGGGTACTTTACATGGAGAAAGGCCATGGTCATCGAGGAGACTGGGTATATTCAAAATTCGCTCAAATAAAAACGAACACATTTTACATGACCATCTTTAATAAACAGACTTTTGTAGCTAATTTGATATTAATACAATTAAAAAATGTAAATCCACAAAATATATGGCTTATGTTATTTCTAGACGTATCAGTCGTGTGCAAAATATCGGACAATATGCATTCGACAAATATGCATATTACTAAAATATGTTAAAATAATAGACTCTGTGGTTCAAAGAAAGTATACACAAAAGTTGGATGGTGGCTAAAATGAAACAAACGAAATGATGATGATGATGATGATGATGATGATGATGATGATGATGATGTATTTGATACGGGAATCATAGCCGTGTCTTGAACCTTATGTATACAGTGTTTCATTGTTTTAACCTGGTGACATTAAAGGCCATTATGGTATCAAATGTTGCTTTCTGGAGTACTCTTTACAGCTTTCTATTGTTTCGTTTTATTTTAGAAAATACTTTCAAAATATCCGCCTCTTTGCACGTGTTTGAACGCCAAAGGAAATAATAAAAATCACTCGATAAATATACTCAACATAAATAGTTAAGGACCACCCCAATATTCAATATTTCAGTATTATATCGATCATAATATGAACTATTAAATACATTAATATCGAAAATTGGGGCGGTCCTTAACTTTTTCTGTTGAGTATATTACACAGGTAATTGAAATATCCAGTAGACGAAAGGGACTTACTAATTCCATGGAGAAATGAACACAGCTGACACAGCCTGCAGCGGTTACCTCGGGATATTATTGATAATGTTTGAGCTACAATCCCAGCTGAGAACACACGCGTTAAAAATATTCCGTCAGACCGGATCGGGGCCAGACGGCGTGTGTGTTTATAGTAGACGAAGGATACGTACACTTCGGCTGTGGTGAATAACGGTGTAGATGTTTCTGGACTGACCTCCTCTGACTGCACGTGTTTGCGCATGCTGTTCAGTCATGTGACTATGTGTGGTGTGTCCTGATGTGGGATGTCCAGCGTTATGAGGTATGTAGGTTGTACTATGTTGTTGTTCAGTGTTCAGTGTGTTGATACTCTGGCGTTTGAAGTTATACAGCTCACAGGGTTATACTGTTTTACTTCTGTTTGTATGTTCGTCGGCAAACTATGTTTGTTTTCTATCTGACTTATTAAACACCAATCCTGGATGTAAAGTCGGTTGATAGGACTGACTGACTGACTGACTGACTGAGTTTGATTCTACGCCGCTTTTAGCAATATTCCAGCAACATCACGGTGGGGGACACCAGAAATGGGCTTCACACATTGTACCCATGTGGGGATTCGAACCCGTGTCTTCGGCGTGGCAAGCCAACGCTTTAACCATTAGGCTACCCCACCGCCCCCGTGTGATAGGACTAATGTTCTTCGTATTTTCTTCTTATGACCTCTGAACCACTCGCCCTCCGACCAGTAGACAAACCCACCCGCAAACATTCCCTCCCGTTACCGCCCCACCCCCTCCAATACACACAGCCAGACACAGACACGGACATAGATAGACAAAAACAACAACCCAAAACAAAAACAAAACAAAACACACCCTCCAAAACCCCAGCAAGCAAAACAAACAAAACAAATCACCCAACCAAACATCCCCTAAAAATAAACAAACAACAACCCCCCCCCCCCAAAAAGAAAGCAACAACAACAACACCCCCACCACCCCTCTCCAAAAACAACAACCCCTAAACAACAACAAAACCAACACCCCAACCTTCAAGTCTGACGACAAGTTTTTTAAATGCAGGGAATCGTCGTCTGCTTAAAATCCATTAACAGCAGGCGCTTTCAAAGTCACCCAGTCAAACTTCCATAACAGTTTGTGTTATCCGGTTCACCCAATGCTATTCGTAATGAAAGCAAGATTTATGGATGTCAACTTGTTTATTATGAATAACTAACACAGAGGCTTGTGTCTGTTATAACCCTTGCTGTGCACATCCCATCTTTCTCCATGCTATATCTCTTTATCCATATTATTTATCCATGAACAAATACTAGTCAAGGAAGTTAGAGAACATCTTATATTTTCATGGCTCAGTTAATATGTCATAACAGCTGCAGTAATGTGAACAATATCAGATGTTCTTAACTTCTTTTGAGCATGTATAAACATGAGGCTTATTCAGATTATGTCACCTTATCCATAACCTTAGTCATTCTTATCCTAATCATACATGCGTATTAGTATAATTCTATAGAATACTAACTGACCGAAAATTCCCGCATTCAAGTCCCAGGCTAATAATGACGTCTTTAAAAATGAAATTAGCTAACTATAATTAAGCCCAGGGCGGAATTTCGAGAATTGCTCATGATGGATGATTTTTGTAGATTTTCTCGACATGATCAGAATTTATGTAATCATGGATCAAGAGTGATGTCATACAAATCGGTTAATTTCATGTCATCATTTTGGCTCTCGCAAAGACAAACTCTGCAGGTATTTCAAGACTACCTCGTGGTGGGTGTGAGTGACGTGGACGTCTATCGTACCCATGAACGTGAATGATATCTCCTTTTGAGATGAAAAACCGACAGATTCTACTCTACAGTTGTGGAATATATCGGCTACAGTATTTCCCAACTTGATACAATGCATGTATCATGTATCTGACCGGACAGGTCAAGTATCAGACCTGACAGGTGTTCAGACCTGTACTGTATACAATCCCTGTGTATCCCCTGATTGTACTATGAACGTTAAATAGCAACATTCGCCTGGACATCACTCCCAACAATGAAATTAAAAATCTTGATTTAGTACCGTGGGCCTTAAACAAGGGACAGTTCCGAATTTAAGCCCCTAGACTGACTTTCGCATTTATTTAACTACAGGAAATCCTGGTAGCTATTCGCATACATTATCCTCAGGGGGCGGTGGGGTAGCCTAGTGGTTAAAGCGTTGGCTCGTCATGCCAAAGACCCGGGTTCGAATCCCCACATGGGCACAATGTATGAAGCCCTTTTCTGGTGTTCCCCGCCGTGATATTGCTGGAATATTGCTAAAAGCGGCGTAAAACTTAACTCAGTCAGTCAGTCATTATCCTCAGCCATAAGATATATATTCTAAGTCACCTCTCATTTACACACTGCATTGTCAATGCGGATCACCTATCATTATCAATAAAGGCAGGTGCTAATCGTGTTCTATATCCTTATCCATCATAATCCATATCATCCACCCATATTCATATCATCTATATAGTTTCATAGAAGTCCCTTTCAAACGTACCTACCCGTCTCATGTAACACATTTCATAATTATAATCCATGCTTATCGTCTCAATTACCTTCATCGTCTTTTATTATTGTCAATATGCATGCAAAGTCCTATGCATTCTATCAATACTAGCCCGTAAAATACATCCTTATTAGCTAGAGCTGTGTATCGGTGCCTGAGTGGCGAGACGATATATCCTGATACCAGTTTAATGAGGCGATACAATATATTATGAAAGTATTGGCAATGACTGACTGACTGAGTTTGGTTTTACGCCGCTTTTAGCAATATTCCAGCAACATCACGGCGGGGAAGACCAGAAATGGGCTTCACACATTGTACCCATGTGGGGATTCGAACCCGGGTCTTCGGCGTGACGAGCCAACGCTTTAACCACTAGGCTACCCCACCGCCCCTATTGGCAAGGAACCTGCGAGACGATTATCATCACGATACAGTGATGGCGATACGATACGTTTCCCGATACTTTACAATTCTAAACACAGGACATATATGATAGATAAAAAGACTGAATCTTTATTTGTTATTCAGCAGAACATGTGCTACATTCACACACACTCAAAAGGCTGTTCATGTAATGAAGTTTCAGCATTTAATGCTTAAGAAAGTACAATTCAAACATATACCTTTGATCTAGGCTTCCCTTTGAAAGTTGTGTTTCTGCACCAATGCTTTCACTGACATTTCAATGTAATTTATACCAGAATCACTGAAAAAAACTCTTAAGTATGCTTTCTAAATATATCTTCTCTTTCTTAACAAAGCTAAGACATCGTTCATAGTTGTTAATAAATGGTGTTATTTGTCAAACAACTAAAACATGTTTCAATTACTTACAGACAAATCTTTACAATTCACAGAGATTGAAAAATGTTCACATTCTTTCACTGATACACCAACTCCTTTGTTCATCTAACAAAGATGGCAGACACAAACAGATTCCTATAAGGTTCAGTTTGTTTTTAAAATTTAGAAGTATTTCAAAGAGACTCCCTTCCTACTCCTAATGCAATACTCCTTACAACTTTAAGTAGTATTTAAGTAGTATCGGGATATATCGTCTCTTGTGGCGATACATTGATGTATCATGGATCCTTGCGATATAAATATCCTGATATATTGCCTAAATGTGTTTTGTATCGCGTATCGCGTAGTTGACGATGCAAACATCGATACTATCGATGAATCGTTACACCACTATTATTAGCATAGTGGGGCGGTGGGGTAGCCTAATGGTTAAAGCGTTGGCTCGTCACGCCGAAGAATCGTTCGAATCCCCATGGGTATGTGTGAAGCCTATTTCTGGTGTCCCCGCCGTGATTTGCTTCATTGCTAAAAGCGGCGTAAAACCAAACTCAGTCAGTCAGTATTAGCATAGTTTATTCAGAATTATATACCTTCTCAATATCAACAGTCGCCTGAGTAAACCCAGTTTTCAATGACAACCATCACACAAGTATGTAGACTAACGCTTAGTTTCTGAATATATAAACTTTTGATAGTAACAAATAAACCCATTTAAATTGAAAAGGAGCCCCAGAGAGACCAGGGATTCTCGACTAGAGCTTTATCATTGCGTGGAGGGTTAGGTTGTAGGGAAAATAATATGGTTCATGGACTGCGAGACAGACTAACAATTATGTAACGCTGTGATCCCACAACTCAACATATGGAGTTGTACTATGCCTCACTCCCAGATTCGTGTACACGGTGACAGCTTACAATAAACACTTAATCTGTATATAAACGAAGACCGTGGAAGAGGTTAACTCTTTTATGGATGATAACTTCGTTTTTCTATTATTAAAAGACGTTTCGGAGTAGATTCTTATACCGTTGCCAAACAGGAGTATAGCTTGAGTGCATCGTAAGTTATGTATACATCCAGTTAAGATCTACAAAACATCATAAGGGTATGCATGAAAGGGAGTAAAAACAAAAGATAATGGTACATTGAATGTAGTAACACATAGTATACTATAGACACAGCGGTAGAGGGGTCTATACGGAAACATCGTGTCCTGACAGAACAAGGTTTGTTTGTTTGTTGTTCAACGCCACAATCAACAATATTCCAGCTGTATGACTGCGGTCTGTAAATAATCGAGTCTGGACCAGACAGTCCAGTGATTGACACCATGAGCATCAGTGTATGCAACTGGGATACGATAACATGTGTCAACAAAGTCAGCGAACCTGACACTCCATCCCGTTAGTCGCCTTTTGCGACAATCATGGGTTTCTGAAAAACACCTCTAACCAAGATCTTCACGGGTTGACCAAACAAAGAATAACGGTTGTAGTAACACACAGTAAAACATAGATACAACGCTTGATTGAATGTAGTAACACACAGTAAAACATAAATACAACGCTTGATTGAATGTAGTAACACACAGTAAAACATAGATACAACGCTTGATTGAATGTAGTAACACACAGTAAAACATAGATACAACGCTTGATTGAATGTAGTAACACACAGTAAAACATAAATACAACGCTTGATTGAATGTAGTAACACACAGTAAAACATAAATACAACGCTTGATTGAATGTAGTAACACAGAGTAAAACATAAATACAACGCTTGATTGAATGTAGTAACACACAGTAAAACATAAATACAACGCTTGATTGAATGTAGTAACACAGAGTCAAACATAGATACAACGCTTGATTGAATGTAGTAACACACAGTAAAACATAGATACAACGCTTGATTGAATGTAGTAACACCCAGTAAAACATAGATACAACGCTTGATTGAATGTAGTAACACAGAGTCAAACATAGATACAACGCTTGATTGAATGTAGTAACACCCAGTCAAACATAGATACAACGCTTGATTGAATGTAGTAACACCCAGTAAAACATAAATATAGATACAACGCTTGATTGAATGTAGTAACACACAGTAAAACATAAATACAACGCTTGATTGAATGTAGTAACACACAGTAAAACATAGATACAACGCTTGATTGAATGTAGTAACACACAGTCAAACATAGATACAACGCTTGATTGAATGTAGTAACACACAGTAAAACATAAATACAACGCTTGATTGAATGTAGTAACACACAGTAAAACATAGATACAACGCTTGATTGAATGTAGTAACACACAGTAAAACATAAATACAACGCTTGATTGAATGTAGTAACACACAGTAAAACATAAATACAACGCTTGATTGAATGTAGTAACACACAGTAAAACATAGATACAACGCTTGATTGAATGTAGTAACACACAGTCAAACATAGATACAACGCTTGATTGAATGTAGTAACACACAGTAAAACATAGATACAACGCTTGATTGAATGGAGTAACACACAGTCAAACATAGATACAACGGCTGATTGAATGTAGTAACACACAGACAAACATAGATACAACGGTAGGAGCAATAATACCGAAACGTTGCTTCATGACGCAATAAGGAATTTGTCACCTATAATAATCTTACCCTTACTATTACTCACCAGCTTATAAAATGCAAAATGAAATGTTATTAAAATGTTTGTAATGACAAAATACAATTCACGTGTAAGCAGCATTATAACTAACACACCCAACTATAAATCAAAGTCGGGCTTAAATCTGATCGATATCCAGCTATTGTCTTATGCATTTGGGTAATCAAATGAGGGATACACCCACATTTGAATGCAGGATTAATACATTGCCTAGATTATAACATGAAGTACATTCCCATTTCTATGCCGCTGATATGGTTGCGTCTTACAGAACAAGAGGCTTGTTTATGTCCTGGAGACAGCTTCGACTGATTGTCTTCATGATTATAGGGCTGGGTTCAAGTGCACACAAAGGTACGTACACCTCCTCACGTTGAGTAACACAGACTTTGCTAGAAGGCATAATATACCAGCGATGTTAAAGCATTTCTAACGAACTGACATAAAGAGAAATGAAAATAAGCAAGTGCCGTATGAACTAGATGAATATTTGTTTATTCTATACTCAGCAGCAAAAAACGTCAGTATGAATTCAAAATTAGATAGACACTGTAATCAAATCATTACATAATAAGCGGATCAAAACCATTGTTTGTGTACAAAATCTTGACATATCAATGAATAACTCAGCACAATTTCAAGACATTACGTGAACGTTTGCAGTCCATTCAGACTCTTGACTTCAGTATCTAGTGTGACCACCACGAGCGGCAATAACTGCAGCACAGCTTCTTTGCATGTAGTGCACCAATCGATTGATGAAGGCCATTGGCACCTGGAACCACACTCTGAGAAAGGCCTGGCGCAATAAATCGGCTGTGTTCGGCCTTGGTATGACATTATTCAGTCTCCTCTGAATTTCATCCCAAAGATGTTCAATTGGGTTTAATTCAGGACTAAGGGCTGGCCACTGCATAATTGTGTCACCGTTTTGATGTGGGAAGTCCCGTGTAGCTCTGGCAGTATGGGCCCGGGAGTTATCATGCTGGAAAATGTTGTTCCGGTGACGTGCAAAATGTGTTATGACGTGGGGTCTGAGAGTTTGGTCGATGTAGCGCACCGCTGTGATGCCGCCTTCTCTCCCTGGACCAAGGTTCTGGAATACCACAGGACCAACTCTCTGGTTCAGGCCTATTCCACTCCATACCATGATGCTTGCACCTCCCCATGAGTCTCTTTCCATAACACATTGGTCTGAGTAACGCTGGCCGAGTCGTCGCAATATTCCTGTTCTGCCATCTGCAGTTGATACGCAGTACCGACTCTCATCTGTGAACAGAACAGTTCTCCATTGCCTGTATCGCCAGTTTTGGTGTTGTAGGACGAACTGTAGACGTTCACGCCGATAACGAGGGGTGAGGATAGGTCCACGGTAAGGTCTACGGCAATGGAGGTTCCCGCTGTTAAGACGTCGGCGTACTGTATCAGTACTGATTGGTCTTCCGTGTGTTCCCACTGTCTGGCGTGCTGTTTCGGATGCCTGCATGAAGGGATTCTGTACATGCTGTCGCGCAACATGGCGGTCTTGTCGTCTTGTGGTGACCCTTGGTCTGCCAGTACGGGGGCGATCATTTGAGGTGTCGGTGGCCCGGAAACGTTGCTGCAGCCTGTAGATGGTCCGAACGTTGACCTGGAAGTGACTGGCAACGGCTTGTGCAGTGTGGCCAGCTCCAAGTCTTCCTAGCGCCTGGTTCCTCTGAGCTGTCGTGAGAAGGGCATCCTGCTGACATTGTAATGTGAATAGTTCAACCAGGTTTGGGGATGCATTTTATAGGGCTGGTCCTTGTGAACAGCACGTGCAGCATGAGTTGCATGAAATACATGGAGAACACCGTACCATCTCCGAGGTCAGGTTGCGTTTTTGAGACCATTTCCTGGGTTCAATTCTGAGTTTGGGAAGGAATGTCTTTGCTCAGGTAAAGTTGAAGATGTTGTCAAAAATATACAATCAAAAATGAGTTTACAGTTATCCGTTTCTGCGATGGAAAATTCCAAGCTGACGTTTCTTTTGCTGCTTAGTATATAACAAATGTCATATTGACTTCTCTGGTAACTGACATGCACAATCGTTTGTAAAAACGTTCCTAGGAAGAAGTTACACATTCTGAAGCAAATATCATCGAAACTGCACTTGTAATTAACACGAACGTATATTTCGTTATTTTTTTTCTCTGAAGAAGTTAATTTATTCAAGCTTCATCCTATAATGATGTGGAGGGCCGGTTGGTAAGCGAAACCCATCTCTGGTGTCTCCCGCCGTTTTAAAACTGGAACAGTTGTAAGAAACACTCATCCAGCCACGTATCAACTCACTAGTAAACATCTATACATGCTGGCATTGCTACAACTATTAATGTTCTTCTTAAAGTGAAGATTTAATAGCTGTCTATCCATAACACAAATGTTTCTCTTCAACTATTCATGATGCTATTTACTTGGATTCAACTAAATATAACAAAGTATGAAATAAGTTTCAGATGAAAACCCAATAATTATGTGGTGGGACTCTATGGGTAACATCGACAGACTGACGTCATGTGGGAAATACACCTGCCAGATCACCGTCAACAGAGCCCGGATGACAGAACAAAGTCACATGGTATAGCAAACGTTCATTGTGGAAGAATGAAACTTAGATATGTATTTTGGACCAGAAATGTAAACTAGGGATGTCAATTTCATTAAGATGTACCTGTCTACCGTCATGTCTTTTACTTCTAAGGTTTTGCTGTATATTGATCATTTAGAGCACGATAATCCTGGGGATATTGATATCGATCTGATACAAGTCATAAATCATGTAAATTGATATCAGTAGATTTCAGTTAACAGTTTATTACATTTTGGTTAAATGCTGCTAGGGAATCTGTGTGCTTTACTATGTTATACTTCACAGCAGTGCACACACAGAGAGTTCAACACACAATCAGTGATTTTGTTTTGAAGTTTGGAGAATTTGTTCTGTACTTGTTGATTAGTCCTGCATTGCAATTTTAACAGTAACAGGTTCCATATCTGAATGTATGAATATTGTATTTGAATTTTTAAAATAGGTAAAATACATCCTAATTAATACTCTTGGTGAGCGAGCCAACAACACCCACTCCACCCTAACCTCAGATATAGCTACAGTTATTATGTGTATGGCAATAGTGAGTGAGTGCGGGGGACACTAGAAATGGGCTTCACACATGTGTGACAATAAAAAATGGACAAATTATGACATCTTAATAATCATTTTGGTTTTACTAACCATTTCTTTGACAAAAAGTATGATACCTTCTGGATAACAACTTCTTCATATTTTGATGCGGCGTTTCGGTAGATTCTTATACCGTTGTCAAGCAAGAGTAGGTATATACATGTATAAGATTTTATAAACGTAATATAATAAAGAAGATGTTATCCATAAATTGTCATACCTTTCTCATTATTCATCAACTTCTAAAATACCAATCAAACAGATCATGTCTTTGACGATTAAAACGAAAGAAGTACATGGTTGAATGAATCATTTATGTATTTCAATTTTATTACATATATTAATGATGAATTTTAAACTGTGATAATGATATACACATCTTTTCATGTACGTGCAGCCAAGTGACAACATATCAGAATCAGTGACAGACCCCATCCCTGAATATCATTATTAGGGTACCCGTAAAGTTCCGCGTTAGTATTCGTCTTCAACAACCCATGCTATTAGGGTACCCGTAAAGGTCCGGGTTAGTATTCGTCTTCAACAACCCATGCTATTAGGGTACCCGTAAAGGTCCGGGTTAGTATTCGTCTTCAACAACCCATGCTATTAGGGTACCCGTAAAGGTCCTTGCTAGTATTCGTCTTAGTATTCGTCTTTCAACAACCCATGCTATTAGGGTACCGTAAAGGTCCTTACTAGTATTCGTCTTCAACAACCCATGCTATTAGGGTACCCGTAAAGGTCCGGGTTAGTATTCGTCTTCAACAACCCATGCTATTAGGGTACCCGTAAAGGTCCGTTAGTATTCGTCTTCAACAACCCATGCTATTAGGGTACCCGTAAAGGTCCTTGCTAGTATTCGTCTTCAACAACCCATGCTATTAGGGTACCCGTAAAGGTCCGGGCTAGTATTCGTCTTCAACAACCCATGCTATTAGGGTACCCGTAAAGGTCCCGTAAAGGTCCGGCTAGTATTCGTCTTCAACAACCCATGCTATTAGGGTACCCGTAAAGGTCCGGGTTAGTATTCGTCTTCAACAACCCATGCTATTAGGGTACCCGTAAAGGTCCTTGCTAGTATTCGTCTTCAACAACCCATGCTATTAGGGTACCCGTAAAGGTCCTTGCTAGTATTCGTCTTCAACAACCCATGCTATTAGGGTACCCGTAAAGGTCCTTGTTAGTATTCGTCTTCAACAACCCATGCTATTAGGGTACCCGTAAAGGTCCGGGTTAGTATTCGTCTTCAACAACCCATGCTATTAGGGTACCCGTAAAGGTCCGGGTTAGTATTCGTCTTCAACAACCCATGCTATTAGGGTACCCGTAAAGGTCCGGGTTAGTATTCGTCTTCAACAACCCATGCTATTAGGGTACCCGTAAAGGTCCTTGCTAGTATTCGTCTTCAACAACCCATGCTATTAGGGTACCCGTAAAGGTCCGGCTAGTATTCGTCTTCAACAACCCATGCTATTAGGGTACCCGTATAGGTCCTGGTTAGTATTCATCTTCAACAACCCATGCTATTAGGGTACCCGTAAAGGTCCTTGCTAGTATTCGTCTTCAACAACCCATGCTATTAGGGTACCCGTAAAGGTCCGGGTTAGTATTCGTCTTCAACAACCCATGCTATTAGGGTACCCGTAAAGGTCCTTGCTAGTATTCGTCTTCAACAACCCATGCTATTAGGGTACCCGTAAAGGTCCGGGTTAGTATTCGTCTTCAACAACCCATGCTATTAGGGTACCCGTAAACAACCCATGGTCCGTAAAGGTCCGGGTAGTATTCGTCTTCAACAACCCATGCTATTAGTAGGGTACCGTCTTCAACAACCCATGCTATTAGTAAAAGGTCCGGCTAGTATTCGTCTTCAACAACCCATGCTATTAGGGTACCCGTGTAAAGGTCCGGGCTAGTATTCGTCTTCAACAACCCATGCTATTAAGGGTACCCGTATTGGTCCTGGTTAGTATTCATCTTCAACAACCCATGCTATTAGGGTACCCGTAAAGGTCTGGGGTAATATTCGTCTTCAACAACCCATGCTATTAGGGTTACCCTTGCTAAGGGTACCCGAAAGGTCCGGGTTAGTATTCGTCTTCAACAACCCATGCTATTAGGGTACCCGTAAAGGTCCGGGTTAGTATTCGTCTTCAACAACCCATATTAGCTATTAAAGGGTTAGTATTCCCGTAAAGGTCCGGGTTAGTATTCGTCTTCAACAACCCATGCTATTAGGGTACCCGTAAAGGTCCGGGCTAGTATTCGTCTTCAACAACCCATGCTATTAGGGTACCCGTAAAGGTCCGGGCTAGTATTCGTCTTCAACAACCCATGCTATAAGGGTACCCGTATAGGTCCTGGTTAGTATTCATCTTCAACAACCCATGCTATTAGGGTACCCGTAAAGGTCTGGGGTAATATTCGTCTTCAACAACCCATGCTATTAGGGTACCCTTAATGATCCGGGTTAGTATTCGTCTTCAACAACCCATGCTATTAGGGTACCCGTAAAGGTCCTTGCCCGCGTTTCACAAAAGCCTCCTAAATTTAGGAGGTCGTAGCCCATACGACCTTGTTTACGACCCTCTTCCGACCTCCTTTACGACCGTTTCACAAAGACGGCATATCCATGTCGTACGACGCGGTGCTAAATCCATGTCGTACATTGTATAAGAGGTACTTTGTTGCATAGCAACGCATAAAGCGAGACCAAACGGGCACCTGCTTATCTTGTTATTCCCAAAGTATTTCAAAATAGAAATACAGTTTGAATAACAATAGAAATGTTATGTTTTTAGTTCAATGTACAGGTTATCTTCTCGTAAAAAAATATCAATGGTCAAGAGACCATGAATAAATGAATTATTTTGGATTTTCCATTGAAAATTACAAGATAAAATGTATAAATCATTTCCATTAATATTATCAGTTTTACTTATAAGGTTTGAATTAAGTCGCTGTCCATTAACTTGTTCATATGAAACTGCAATATTAGTCCCAATGCAGGACCTAAAGTCAATGTTGCAGTTATGGCTACGCTTGATCTACTAACACTTGTGTAAAGATTTAAAATATGGTGTGATACTCTAAATGTGTCAATTTCTTTTGTAACTTTTATTCAAACCATCAAAAACTTTCAAAGAATATAAACGTATACCCTATATCCACGTATGATATGATATTGAACAAGGCTAAATGTAGGTACTGAAATTGGTTTCATGAAAAAAATATCTGAATGATACGCAAAATATACATCATAGTACTGAAAGTGTAATCAGAAGGATAAGACGATTGTATTTACTTTTTTCTTCTTCCGACCTTCACCTCAAATATATTGCCTAATATGTAGTACTACAACAATGTTGACGTGTGACATCACAACCGATGACCGATTTCTTACAAAATGGCGGCTCCGCTGACAAGGGTACACAGGATTTTGCGAGGACTCTTACTCCCTTGATTCAGGGATCGTTTGTACATAAATATGAAATGTAAGTAATCAGAGTGACTCTGACTATCTGTGTATTGTTATAAGTTTTCTTTGTAAGTAAGAGAAGAAGCCAGAAATGCTGATAATTACCGTTGTCATTCTGCGTGATTTTGCGTCTGTTATGGCGTCACGCTGCACGGAAACTTTGACAATTTCTTATGAAGTATCAAATCATTGCATTGTATCAATTTTTAATTTCCTTTTTCTTGCTATGATCGATACTCTTTCCATGCATATTCTAAAGGTATTGAGCCATTGCTACGCAGTATTAATCGGAATTTTTCTTTGTTTACATTTCAGTAGCGCAGTCTTCCGAGCACAGCGTTTGTTTTCACACCCAATATCCAGTTGGTATTGGTAACAAAGACCAACTGTGATTTGATTTCAAAATGTATGTGGAATTCAGTGATGCATTTGTCGCAGCTGACTATGAAATATACTTCATTTGATAGGCAACTCAATACCGGCCTTTGCGAGACGTGATTTTGTAAACACTATCCATTATGGCGGAAAGCGCACTTCGGCGTTCGTGTAAATATATTTTCGAAAACATCCAAACCGATTCTAGGTTCATCGGGAGCGTTTCAGATTATCATTAGTGATATCATGAACAACTGATTTCAGTGATCATTAATATGTTATTTTTTGAAATTCAGTACCCCCAGTAATTATCCGATTTTCACTTTTGAAAACATACTGTCTACACTGTACAACAAATAATGCTGTGAATCGTGATTTCGTTTGTTATAAAATGGCGACATTTACGCTATGATCGGTTATTTAAGCACTTTCCATACATTTCCGCATTCTGTGAAATATTTGTATTGAGCCATTGCAAGCAATGAATAGCCTGCTGCTACGCAGTATTAATCGGATTTTTTCTTTGCTTACATTACAAACT